CGGCTAAACAGGTTTTTATTGTTCGATCGGCATGAATAGTTGAAACTTAGAAGCACATAACTCTGCCTTCCTGGACAGAGCCTTGGGCAAAGTGCACCACCTTACTGTACCGTGCTGCACTGCACATCAGCTTAAGCGGTGCAATGCAGAAATTATTTCTCCAGTAGAGTACGGCACCGCGAACCCCAAACGATGGACAAATATGCCATAATCGGATGATATACCGGTAGTTGTCCCTCCCCGCGAAGCCTTGTGCAAGGACTGAGTGCGCTGGACTTTCCCACCGGGCACGGTAGCCGCGTGGGAAGGGTTCCAACACCCTATCATAATTTAGCTCTTGATGTATTAGTGCTTACACAGTTCACCTGAGCAGTGAGATACGATTGGCAATGGCACCCCTCTGGCAGTGCCCTAGTAGTGTCATTAAGAAATTTTCTCTACCCCTCTCATGAATACCATCCCAACGTCTTCGCCGAGTTCTTTATGGGCCCGGTGACTTTAATCGTCAACATCACCATGCATTCTTCTTTGCTTGTGTGATTGACTTGTTTAGCACGGTATTTATCGACAAGATTCCAAAAGCCAGAAGGGGCTAATAACAGTTAGGGGTAATGGATACTATAGCAGTGTTCAACGGATGGACAAATTCAGCACTATCGAGCCAGAAGCTTCACCCTCCCGCACCCGCCCAAGTAAACATAACAGTTTAACAGCAACCTAGATGAATGCAGTACTATAAGCGCTTATAATTCACTTATGGGCAACTCTCAAGGTTGACCCCACCATCATGTGGACCGGCTCGCGATGCGCGTATCGTAATACTTGCCCTCCTCAGCCCCCTACGCACCTGTGTACGAGCACAGTACCGTACTGCGCTATCAGGCTGTAAACAAGGTCTATGATACCACTAATCATATATACTTCATTCCGCTTAATATAAGTAACCCTAACCCCGCCTCGCTCCCAAATTTCCAAATGGCCCACTGCGAAAGCTACCAGCCCCCCCACCTCCCTTCTAGGCCCAGAATATTCCAAGCGCATTCCATCATGCATGAGCCCAATATGGGGCGACCCCCTGTGCTGGAAATGCACGACTATAAATCCCGTAAATTTTCACTGGAGCGAGGTTTTACAATCTAATTAATAAAAATGGTTGAATGCTCAGTAGCACAACACCCACGGTAGTTTAGTGGGTTAACTCTTCCCTCCAGGGAACAGAGACTTGGCCAAAGTGCATCGGCTCACGTGGCCGGCAGTGAAAGAACACAAACACAAGAAGAAAAAAATGCTATTATAGGACGCTATGGTTGGCCCTCCCTGTAACGCGATGTGCAAGGGTCGAGTGTCGTCGCTTTCCCACCGGGCGCAGTGACAGGGGGGAGAGGGAACCCCAACACCCTTCCTTACGGTGCCGGACAACCAAAATCAGCCCTCGCGGTCAACTCAATCCAAATTTTCTAAATCGGAATAGTCTCCTCTTGAGAAGGTATTGCAAACTCCTCTCGTAAAAGTTGTTTAAATAGTGAATTGGAATTGATATAAGATTTTTTATCTTCCCCTAACGGTCCTCCAGGAATTTGTTGTGGCGGCTTTACTCAGAGCCAAAGATGTCGCACAACGTTGCCAGATAGCCCCCCTACAACATGATTCCAGCCATTGATTTCGAATGCATTGATAGGATAAAAATAAGATGGCGATTATTATGCGCTTTTCATGAGGGCTTTTTTTACAAGATTACCAGAGGTATTATTTTTAATGTTTCTTTTTCTCTTTCAAATGCCAACAATTCGGTTTTGTCAAGATTTTCCAAGAAATTTCGGTGGAGGGCGGGCTTTGGTTGTCCCGCACTATAGCATATTCTCCTTCTATCCGAGTCCTTGCCGTAACCGGTACTCGCACATCCGGGCAGCATTAGAGAGATACGGTAGACACTGGCATACCACCAATAGCATGACACTAGTAACGTACGATATGAGTATCATTAAGAGATCTCCTCTACCCCTCTCCCAAATACAATCGCAAAGTCCTCACTCAATGTTTTCTTTCGGGTGCCTAGTTCTCCTCCCGAATATGTCTTCTCTATCTTTGCGATCGACTTGTGGTTTAGGCATGCATCTAAGAACAAGATTCTAAAAAACCAGAAGTGAGCTGCAGCGGCGGGTAAGTGGAACCGCAAAACCCCTCGGACATTAAACTCACGATTATCAGGAAAGCGAAACCACTTCAACAAGTATCACTCACACCTTCTCCGCTATTCAGAAATCAACGGAAAGCCCAACCCATCGGCATTGACATCTTCAGGACAACGAGAGAATTCGAATACAAAAGAATAAAAACAATACGGGAAAAAAGTAGAAGATTAAAAAATTAAAAGGCGTTATTATTATTTCCAACTATCCATCTCTACCGGAGATTATCCCCCCACCCCGAGTGCTATCTTCATCATTTCCTTCTCTAGGTAATGCGAGAACCGGGGAAAAGCATCTATATCCCCTGATCGTGCCGAGGACTAATCTTATGCAATTCCCGAACCTTGGTAACCGGCGGTGTACAGTACCATCCAGCATAGATATCTGCCCCTCTCTTCACTCCTCGCATGCATATTCCACCTTCACCTGACTTCTATATTTTTTTCCCACGTTGCCACGAGCGACGTTACGCTGCCCTGGAGTTTTGCTTCTTACTTTCCCTCCCTCGAATCCGATTCCGTTCAGATCCCGTATTTCGGTTTCCCGGTGATGTTAATGATGACCAATCGGACTTGCCATTCATCCCTGAAAGCTGGAAGTGTCTTGACCTCGGTGTGTCTCAGTTGCTTCGCTTACTAAATTAGTATCCGAACCCAGACACTCAATGTCTCAGCGCCGCCGTGGTTTCAGCTCTTTTACTCGTACTGGTCGACAACAGCGGAGGGTGGTAGCCGTCACGGGAAAGGGAAAGGATAAACGGCATTCAACTATATTAATATTATTATCGCTTACTTCTGCGGAAGCGATAAGTTACTCCTTTACTAATACCCCCTCCCCCCATCAAAACTAGGCAACGGCCTAACAAAGAAATTACGGGCAACTCTCGAAGCTTACCTTACCAGTGTACAGTACAGTTATCTCACCTCTGGAGATTACCCCCACTACCGAAGCTATCATACAAAGGAGACCCGCGCGTCCGGACTGTAAAGGTTAACCCCACACCCTGCCGTACCGCACCATACTCGGCCCAGGCTCCCACAAGGAACGGGGTGAGAGAAATATCACCGAGAATATCTATACCGGGCTCTGACCCTAGATCCGAGATACCAGAGCCAGTCATTAGTTATGTCGATAATTCCAATATTATTTTTATTTATTTCCTACTCTTTAATCCTTATGTTACGGGCCAAACTGTGTGTCTATATTCCCTCCAAGGGCTCAAGTGAACTTTTCCTTCGAGCAGAGGACTGGAATATTAGCCCCTGGGTGAAGGGATATCTTCTCCTCAAGCGGTGAAGCCCAGAATCGCCTTCACTAAGGGAAGCCATGTTTTCCTAGGCAGTGGTCGGAGTCGTCAGCTCGGTGGCAGGAAGGGGGAAATTCTATTGGGATAATTGAATACCAGTATCATTACCTCTTCTGCTACCACTTGCCTTTTGGTTTCTGGATTTCGGTATCATATATATAGCAGTGCTCCTGCTCCCCTGCCTGTGGTATGGTGCATATGCAAACCGCAAACATCCGAAACAAAGAATATAATATATCCATTAGTCGCACTCTATCACTCGCGGGGTGGAACCTGTTTTCATTGAAGAAAAGAGGCAACTACAACCCTCCTCGTCTTGGAGGAAATCATAAATCAAGATGTCGTTCCCATGGACTAGCTGTGCGGAATCACCAGCCAAGGGTGATGAACACGAACCCAGCAAAGACCCGTCGAAGGATATACCCGTCTGTATAATCCATGTGATGAAGCCTGTAAACAGAAATTCATATTGTAGCTGTACCTAGCCGAATTTTTCTCTTCCCTTCCTACAGATATGAAAACATAGCCCGAACTAGAACCCCTCGATAGCAATATTAAATGAAAAAAAATGGAATAAAACAAGCTAGAAAGGTGCATGTAGTAAATGCGTTCATATAAGGAACCAGGGAAATGGATAGGTCCACATTGAAACGGGTGAAATTCAGTCATGCGTACAGTAGAGGGATGACTAAGCCTACAAAGTGAGGCCGGGGAATAGGTTTCTGCTTTGCAAAAGTAAGCTTCACTAGAACTAAAAGATATGGAAAAAATCTGGAACGCGTTACCAATTCAATCTCTTAGGCACCGGTGTGTATGAAGGGGGCCCACACCAGGGGGTTGTCTGGCCTAGCATCTCGAACTTTCTTCACGGCCTCATAAAAAGCGGTGGAGACTCGTTGGTGGTCATCATCGCCGTTCCCTTGACCTTGTAATAGCAAGTCATAGAAGACACGAGCAACTTCAAAGGCCGCATTGTCTTCGGTTTCCCACATGTTCGCGAACGTATGACTAAATCCGGAGAGCTGAAATGCGCTAGCTAGGTGTATGACTTCGTCGGCTAAGCCGTCAGAGGGATTTTTGGCTGATGAGCAAGCGGAAAGATAGGCAATCTGCGCATTTTGTGCAACAAGATTGGATATATCTCGGGCGAGGAGTTTATCGGCTCTGGTCTTATCCTGATTGAACAGAATCAGGTGGCTATCTGAAGGGTTGATGCAAGACACTCCGTGGCAGGCGAAATGGACAATTTCGTGGCGCTTAACTTCCTTGAGGACTTCGGCCGGGGTTGGTTCGCTCAATAATTTAGTTTCAATCGGTTTTTTAGAGATCAAATCTCGTATGTGTAGAATCTCTTTCTTGACACCTGGTAGACCCCCCGCACCAGGTGTCTCTGGCATCGGAACGAGAAGCAAGCGAGGATTCCGTTCAATGGATATTTTGGACTTCTTAGAACGTTCTGGTGAAACGGCAGCGCTAGGTTCTTCAAACAACCGTAATTTTGTTTGACGTGCATAGGTGAGGGCTTTGATTGTCGGGATATATGTTGAAATAGCCCGACTTAAAGTATTACAGGTTGACCCTCGGGTATGGTCCCCCGCCGCATGGAAGGGTGCCACACTTAATTGCCCTACCCCAATCCACCAAATCCGCTTCAAATTGGGGTCATGAACGTTCTCGCTGATAGGGGTGCCGTCACTTTCAAGGTGATCAAAAACGGGTCCAACTGATGCATCCCATAACCAAATGAGGAGGTCTTTCATATCTTTGTTATCCTGGCCTTGCTTAAGGAACCCCCCTCCCCCGAAGCCAGCAAATTGCCTCATGCGCCGGCCTGTTTCCTCATACCTCAACTTTGGAAGTTCTATCGAAGTTATACTCGAAGTGGTGACAATTATGGCATCGCTCCTGCAAATAGTGCTGTTGAAGACAACGATGGGGCCCTTTGCTGCCATCTTCATCAGCGCATTCCGGGAAGGCGGGAGCAGGAATCTGTCATAGCCTGGCACACTGCGGATGCGCTTCAGAATTTCTTCCATCTCATTGACAGCTTCCCAGCGTCTAGATATAGTCCGGTTTCGCCGTTGATCGGGAGTCTCATTAGTTTTGCAGTCCATCACATCCACTGGGGAATCAATCTCGAGTCGAAGAGTGTGAAATTTGTCGAATAACAGGGGGTGGCTGGTCTTGAGATCCGAGAAATCAGATCTTGATTCAATCGAAAAGCCCATAATTATTCCACGGCCAAGTTCCAATAACTTGAGACTCGCATAGGCTCCTCTCCCAGCCTGAAGTGTCACAGAAGCCGCAATCGATGCTAACCCAGAAAGTTCCGACAATATGTGTTGTTGGTCATCTCGTTTTAGGAATCGTAAGTCAATACGCGGCATTAAGTCAACCGCATCCTCGAGTATGAAACTTGATTCATGAAACCTTCCACTTGAATACAGTAAAAAAGCTGCCTTGTGGGCAGCCTCCATCCGATATCTGGGGGGTGAGGTGCGGCAACGATAGGCCTCCCGGTATAGGAGTATGCCCTCGTTTAAGTCCCCGACAGAGTGTAGATTTAAGTGTCTCAATTGCAAATCCCCACCAAGGCTAGCGCACATTCTTGCTCTGTCGGGGTGGTCTTTAGGGCAATTTTTCAGTGCCTCTTCTCTATGCTTGATCGCTTTTTGGAGGTCATTAATGTCTCCTATCCGCTCAAACCTCGCAGAGACCGCGCCTCCTAGATTATACTCTCTAATCATCCGATCAGGGCTACCTATAGGGGTGGCAGCTAGTGCCGCTTCGCCATGATCAATGGCGCTCTGGAGGTCACCAAGGGCTCCTACGTGCTTGAACCTTGTGTAGATCACGTGCCCCAGGTTATCCTCTCTCCATCCTCGATAGGGGTGATCTGGCGCGGTAGCAGCTAGTGCCGCTTCGTGGTGTTTTATGGCTTTTTGGAGATCACTAATGTCTCCTATCCGCTGAAACCTCCTACAGAACACATTCCCCAAGTAACTGCATATGCCTGCACGAGCCGGGTGATCCTGAGGGGTGGCAGCAAACGCCTCTTCGCCGCATTCAATAGCCTTTTCGAGGTCGCCAAGGCTTCCTATCCTCTCAAACCTTCTAAAGAAGGCGCCCCCCATGTTCCCCTGTCTGTCTGCTCGACTCGGGTGATTTTGAGGGGAGGCAGCTAGTGCCTCTTCGTAGTACTTGATAGATTTTTGGAGGTCACTAAGGTCTCCTATCCGTTTAAACCTCCTAAGGAATGAGTTTCCCATGTTATTATATGCGTTCGCTCGATCCGGGTGATCTTGAGGGGTAACAGCAAGTGCCTCTGCCCCGTGAGTAATGGCCTTTTGAAGGTCTCTAAGGTCTCCTAACCGCTCAAACTTTAAATAGAGCCTCGCTCCCAGGCCATTGTTTGCGACCCCCCGATTAGGATGATCTTGAGGAGTAGCAGCTATTGTCTCTTCGCCATGCTGAATAGCTTCGCGGAGGTCATCCAGGTTTCCTATCCGCTCAAATCTCGCAGAGAGCCACTCTCCCTGATTATGGTGACGCATTGCTCGATCGGGGTGATCTTGAGGGGTGGCAGCTAGCGCCTCTTGGCCATGCTTAATAGCTCTCTGGAGATCATCAAGGTCTCCTATCCGCTCAAATCTAGCAGACAACCAGTGCCCCAGGTTATTGTGTCTGCTTGCTCTATCGGGGTGATCTTGTGGGGTAGCTGCTAGTGCCTCTTCGCTGTGTTTAATGGCTTTTCGGAGGTCACCAAGGTCTCCCTTCCGCTCAAACCTCGTAAAAAACACGACTCCCAGGTTATTGTGTCCTGCGGCTCGATTAGGGCTGCTTCGAGGCATAGCGGCTAGCGCCTCTTCGCTGTGCAGAATCGCTTTTTGGAGGTCACCCGGGTCTCCTATCCGCCCAAACCTCACTCGGAGCCCCACACCCAGGTTATAGTGCCTCCCTGCTCGATCTGGGTCATTTTGAGGGGTGGCAGCTAGTGCCTCTTCGGCGTGTTGAATCGCTTTTTGGAGGTCTCCAATGTCTCCTATCCGTTCAAACCTTCTCCGGTATATGTATCCCAGCTTTCCAAGTGCCTCGGTATGACCCCGGTCACCAGGACAAGCCATTCTGACTATTTCCTCAGCTATTCCGGCTGCCAATTCCAGATCATTCTTATCACCCAATCGTTTAAATCTCGCTTCCAACATGTCACTCCAGTCACCCAGCATATCCATCCGCTCGGGGTCGTATGGGAGAAGTGTTCCCACTGCCTTTTCCACCTGAATTATCGCTTCCTTGAGGTCTGCCACGTTACCCAGTCGCTCATACTTTCTGTACAAATGGCTCCCCGGTCGTCCGGAAGTCCTGTGAGCGCTCTCCAGCCGACGCCTTATATCGAGAATGCTACTACATGCAGTTCCAAAAGTGTCCATGTTCTGCGATGCCTTTCCCACTTCCTCAATCCCCCACACCCATGCCATGTCGAGATCTACTACATCTTGTGTGTGCTCAAATTTTTCCCCGAACATTTTGCGCAGATTGGCCAGTAAAATAGCTCGATTGCGGTGGTGCATGGACGTTTCCGTAATCGCACCCTCAGCCAGGGCAATTGCCTCATTAAGGAGGCTTATGTCGTTCGTTTCCGCGTATTGAGAGAACCGGGCGTTGCTAGCTTCAACCCTATCTCCAGGATCCCTCTGGTGCCTAGCAACTCCCAGATCTTGACCCGATGCACCACTCCGAGGGCCCCCGACACCCTCTACGCCAGGTATATGTGGCATCTGATATGCGTGAATACCGGTGTTGTTTGGAATCCGAGTTCCAGATTTTGTCGATTCTGCTGCAGTCCGATACAGTGCTATTCAAGTATCTAGTGCGTGGGGACGAAGGACGATTGTTGATGCACACTTTGGCGGATGACGAGCTCTTGCTGATATGAGATCCTGACAGCTAACTAGGCTAGAGTTAGCACTACTTACTATTGAGACTGTATGCTTTCAATACCCGACGTACCTAATAGAGCGGTGAGCCATCCAAATACCTGGTCCCAGTCAAGTATTCCTAATTCGGGCTTTCTACGGGGCAAACACCTCAGCAGCCGAATGTAACCTCCGGATTCGGTGCTCGGCCCCTGGATCGTCAGGTTCAAGGCCCTGTTTCTAAATTTGAGGATGTAATTCTTCCCTCTAAGAAACTTATAAAGTGAGTAAATGGCGTCCCAACAGTAGTTTTTTTAGATTTTACCTTTCTTGCCCCGGTGGCGTGTTGTTCCTTTCTCCCGTAGAAAGTATAATATTTCTATCGCTCAGCTTTTCTCACTCTTTCTTGTTTGAATCTCCTGCAAGGACAACTAGGGTTACTGGGGAATAAGTCTATGGCGGTAGGAGTCCGACGTGAGTTGGTGATTGATGTGGTATGGAGGCCAAAAGTACTGTACCTGCACTAGCAGCGGTGCTTATGTAGTGCACAGTACTCGACTATCCTATTATGTAGAAATTTGCAGCATAGACAGGATCGAAATGTGAGTTGTGTTTGACCCCTTGAGTCCCCTACAGTATTGATGCACCCGGCTACAGACACTCGACTAAGACATACCGAATTTCTGCACCTTCAGCCTGGCCTCGTTCACTATTTTCGTTACAATTCTGTCCTAACTCCAAATAGCAACCCGTTATTAAACAACTCATCCTCGCGTGTACCTTTTCATGTCTAAGATACCCTGGGCGCATCCGATCGTGAAGGAGCCCGATCAGCGGCATCCTTCTGCGCTGGAGCTGGAAGAGTATATTTCCCTACACTGATACCATGGCAAGTCTCCAAATATTGGGGATGGATGCGCCTAGCGGCCCCACCAGCTTGACGTGGTTTCTCGCAAATGAGCAATTATGATACATTAGAGAAGAAATCAGGTACTTTCCTGCTCATCGAGGTTTTTACTATTTAGTTGGCACAAGCTTTGAACATGCACCAGCACAGGAGCATCAACGATGACTTAGCCGAGGTTTTACGCTAACCTTTCCTTGAAGATTCCCCACTATGGACAGAGCCTTACGCAAAGTGCATCAACCCAGGGGGCAGGTAGTGCCACTAATTATTTCCAGGCATATTACCGTAGAAACCCGGATAGAAGAAAAACGTGCCACCATCACACGTTGCAGTTGCCTCCCCTCCAAAGTACACCCAAGCAACGCAAAAGAGATCCGGTGGGCACACCCCTGATGTCGTTATGCCAACACATCAGGGCTTAAAAAAATTCCTCCGTCCCTCTTGCGAATACTATTGCAATGTCCTAACTAAGCTCTCTTAGTACAAAGGGTATTTAGGCATCCTGGTTGTGATTATTAAATACATATTATTTACCCCAATTATTCACGGTGCTTACGGCCGTACTGGTTAAGAGAGAAAGGATCGAAAGACAAAAACAGAGGCGGTGTAGCTAGGGGGAAAATATGCATGGGGCTGTGTCCCGCAACAGCAAACCGTGCAAATAAAAAAAAACTAAAAAAACACGATCACTCAACCGTGAACTACCGATTATAAAAGTCGAGCCGGGTGAGGAAGTGCAAATAACATGTATTAGCCATCACCACCTGCCAACCGTGGTCATATTTTGTATTTTTTTTATTTATTTATTTATTTACAGTATGTACTTACAATACCACCGTACAGTACCGCACTGTCCTGTACGGCACACCATTAAAAAATAGGAAACACAGGTACCGCGATTTAATAGATAGTGTCTTATTACACGACATTCAGAAGTCAAATATAATCTACACCATAGAATTGTTGCCGAGTTTTGATATTGTCATATTTTCTGAAAAAGGAACAAGTGCCGTTGTTGCGGGCGGTATTATACTAATACACTTTTGTCCTCCCGTGTAAGGATGAATAAAGGTGGATAGAAACAATAATGGCATCCAACCGTACGAACACAATTACCGCTTACCCCCGAGGAAGCGACAGGCTACTTCTCCGAACCCCGGCCTCCCCCCACAAAAAAAAAAAGAATACAAAGCAACAGATCAATGCAACCATTATTTACAAAGAACCCGTAGACAACCCCCAATGCTTCCCTTACCATCGAACTATGATATACTCTACCGCACCGTTATTCCAACCCGAATAATTGGACCGCGCGCTATGAGGTCAGAAATTCCCCTCTTCAGAAACGCGGCAAAAGGCTTAGAGAGAAAGAGGAAAGCCCCACCATACGGCACATTAGTTCAATCCTTTCAAGTCTCTACCGTATTCCGATAGACAACCAGTATTTATTTTCAGCGGAGACAAATTTTCCAGCCCGTATCATTATCAATAATTTCAGTCGGTATTTTTTTCCCCCCTCGCTTCTATAATACTAGAGTTGCACTACGAGTACAAGTGCGGGTATTGTTTCCATCTGCTGAAGCGAGTTTTTTTCTCTTTTAAGCGACGGACTCAGCTAGCCCCCCCGTGAGAGCCCCATTTCCAATCACACAGCGAAGAGCTGTAACTTACCACTCCCACCGCAGGGACGCACAATTCCACCCCTAAGTTACCCCCCCCCCCCCACACACCCTTGTCGGTTCATTTGCCACCTCTCTCTTTTTGTTTCCGGGCTTTCGTTCATAGATACAGCGTTACAGCCGCTCCCCTTGCACGGCACGAATCTGTAAAAATTTGGCATCGGAAACAAGTGTAAAGTACATTCAGCGGTCATGGTCCACCACTTGACTGGTGGGTCCGCCTTCGGTTTAAGGGGGGATATGCAACGGAGGGCACCAGATTCAGCACTTCCTGTGCTGAAGCCAATATTGAATCACAATGCCGGTTCCATAGACTTGCGGTGCAAAATTAACAGAGAAGAGAATGTGAAACGACACCATATGAAATCCTATGAGCATATTTTCTAGGTTAATCTCTCCTCCCCCCAGGAATATGGAAACCCAACCCGAGCCAGGACCTCTCGATAACGGTAAATTAAAAATTGAAAATTAAAAACAGCAAGAGAGATATATGCAGAAAACTCCTTCATACGACAATGAACTAGGGGAATAGATAGGTCCACTTTGGACCGGAGGTGGAACTCAGAAACAGGGAGAGAACTGACTCAATCCATAAGGTGAACCTAAGGAAAAGGGTTTCTTCTGCTCAATGTTAGATATGGTGAAATTGACAGAAGTGGATTCTTTCTAAAAGGCGTTACCGACCGGATATCCTAGGCACCCATGTGCACAAAAATGGTCTAGGCAACAAAATTGGTGGAGTTGTCTTGACACTTCTTCACAGCTTCATGAAAAGTAGCGGACACCCGATAGTGCCCATTGCCGCCTCCTTTGCATTGGAAAAGCAAGATGAAGAGGTCTCCCAACTTCACTCGATATATATGGTCGTTTGTTTCCCACATGTTGGCGAGCTTATGGCTGAATCCGGAGAGAGGCCTGAAAAGCACTGACTAGATGTATGACTTCACCGGCTAGATTGGCAGAGGGGGTTTTTGTCTGAGGCACAGGCGCATAAATAAGCAATCTGCGCATTTTGCGCAACCATATTTGATATATCTCGAGCCAACAGTCTACCAATACCATTCCTGCCCTGATCGAACAGAGCGAGATAGCAGTCTGAAGGGTTGAACTCGGATACTCCGTGGCAGGTAAAATGGACAATGTCATGGCGCTGACCCTCCCTGGGGGATTTTCACTGGGTTGGGTCTCTCAATACCGTTGGTTCCATCTTATTTTCAGCTCCCTCATCACGAATGTATCGAACTTCTTTAACGACACCCGGCAGACGTACCGCACTAGGTGTTTCTGGCATGGGAACGAGAAGCAAACGGGGATTTGGTTTTTTTTGGAGTTCTGGCTCCCTTGGAGCCTTCTATCAAAAAGGAAGCACCACCTTTGTCAAATAGTCAGAGTTGTCTTTTGCGTGCATAGGAGAGGGCTTTGATTGTGGGGATATATGTTGAAATGGCCCAACTTAAAGTGTTACTAGTCGACTCTGGTGAATGGTCCCCAGCCGCATGGAAGGGTGCTACACTTAATTGCCCTACCCCAATCTACCAAATCTACCTCAAATTGGTGTTATGAACACCCTTGCTGATAGGAGCTCCGTTAGTTTCAAGGTGGTCAAAACGGGTCCAACTGCTGCACCCCATAGCCAAATGAGAAGGTCTTTCATATTTTTGTTATCCTGACCCTACTTTTACCAGTTTCCTCCTCCAAAAAACGGTCGATTGCTTCATACGGCGGCGCACTCCTTCGTAGCTCAACTTTAGAAGCTCTAATGATGTTATATCTAAAGCAGTAATAGTTATAGCATCGCTCCTATAATCAGTACTGTTGAAGACAGCAATATGGCATCTGTTGCCATTCCATGAGAATATACCGAGGAGGCGGGAGCAGGAACCCACCAAGTTCAGCTAACATGCGGATACGATTGAGGATTCTTTTTTTCCATCTCTTGGACTGCCTCCCAATGTTGAGATATGGTGCGGCTCCTAGGTTGGTTACCACCAGTATAGCTCATCTCATCCACTGGCCAGTCGATTTCAGCTTGCAGACTATGAAATTGGTTGCAGACCAGGGGGCAGTCGGTTTTAAGATCGGAAACATGGCATTCTGAGTCAATTAAAAAGTCCATAATTATTCCACGACCAAGCTCCAATAACTTGAGACTACGATAGGCTTCTCTCCCAGCCCGGAGTGAGATAGAAGCAGCAATTGGCGCTAGGCCGGAAAGTTCCGACAGTTTGTGCTGTTGGGTATCTCGTTTTAGAAAGCTTAGCTTAACACTTAGCAACAAGTTAATTGCATCCTTGAGTAGGGAACTCGATTCACTAAACATTCCAGCTGAATATAGTAAAGAAGCAACTCTGCGAGCTGCCTCAACCCGTTCCCTGGGTCGTGAAGTGCGGCAATCATAAGCCTCAATGTATACATGGAGGCTCCTGTCTCAGTCTTCTGGGGAGTGTAGCACTGAGAATCTGGATTCTAAGAGCCAACCCAGGATAGTGCACATGTCTGCACGGTTCGGACAGTCCTGAAGGGTAGTTCATGGCGGCGAACTCTCAAACTAAGGTAGATACAACAGTTTGATGCTATTGATGTGGTGAAGAGTTTGCCCCGCCAGCCCGGTTAGAAAGACAAATGACTATCGATCTCGGAAGACCTAGATCTTATGGTATTGTCTTTATAAGTTCTGTATCTAGCTCAGTGTTATTTTCCTTGATTACCACAATCATTTATCACCATTGTCGTTTACCCCCTTCCCTCTCTATTATTTCTCATCCGCGATATCATTCTAGACAACGAACTCACACTCCTCATAATCGCATACCGTATACCTCAAAACTATCCTACAAAGTTGTTATTCAGTACCATAATCACTTTTGTGTAAAAAAAATACTCGTACGGAATTCCTGACCCCACAATTCAAGGGAGCTATCCTCATGGGCAACAGCATGCCCAGGTAAGATATCAATCCCTAGCATTAGCCCCGCCCCGAGGTAGTACAAGGCCTATTACAGATGAATACCGCACAGTACGGTACTGTTTAGTGCCGGACAACTAAAACCTGCCCTCCACCAAAAGTTTTTGGGAAATTCGAGCTTGCGCAGCGGAGGAGGGCGAGACAGACGGAACGATCCACTCGAATGAGGCAATAAGCATAATGTAATAATCGTGGTTGCATGTAACCCCATCCGCCCATCCTCTAAAACACATCCAGAAAAGGCAAGACCATCCGGCATTCGCTGCAGGAGTCTCCCCACCCCTTCCATCCCATTCCAACACAAAGCAGAGGAAAGTGATATGGAGAATATTCTCCGTGTGCTCTTATTGAAAAAGAAAATTAAAGCAAACGCCCCGACCCGGAGCTTTCCGTTGCATATTCCACAGTAAATTTACCACAGCGCACAGACACTCAGCTACATTCTGCTACATTCATGCGTGCAAGTATCCACCTTGAAGCACCCTCCAGCACCAATAAGTATGGAGTAGCTGGGGTCATCCCGGAATCCAGCATCCTGCCCTTGGATTGGCGGTATAAACGGGCATCCCGAATTCGGATGGTTGGTTATATTGGATTTACGGCTAGCTGAACTGCACACCAGCTTAATTCTGCCGTTAATGAGGGTTCGAGTACTGTACAGTGCCGGTACTTGAGTATGATACCATAGTCTGGGCATGATAATATGATAGATTCATGACAGGGTCATCGGGCGCTAGTACAAGGTACAAGTACCAGGGGGGGTAATTTCGCACACACCAAAGTGGCTGACCAGCAAAAAACATTAGAAAATTGGTGAGGTCACAAAGTAGTGTGTGCGAAAACACCCCCCCTGTGCCTTGTATGATAATACGTTCAAATAAGGTTTTCATCCCTGTCCTGTCTCGGAATCGCCATAAAACGCCACATCCTAACCCCTTCTAACCAGGACGAAACCCTTTCGGGGCTCCGATTTCGACTTAAGGTTATCGTAAGTCTCACCTCAGCCACTTCTCATTTCAGCGCTCTAGTGTCCGACGTTCCCCGCCAGATTACCCGTATAGTAGCCTTTCGAGTTCGGAGCAAGCTCGGTAGTTGGACTCTCTCACAATCTACGTATAGGTTAATGCCTCCTTTCTAGTTATTTATTTGCCGACTATCTACAGTATCTGGAAGAAAAAAACTAGTATCGCAATGATTGGGTCTGGGATGAGCTGTAAATGCCATGAAGAAATGGCTGAATAACTACCACACCCGCAATATTATACACATTACCCCGCGCTCACGTCCCAGGAGTAAAAAGCTTCTCCAAATCTTCCACAATCTTCGGCAACTCGTCCTTGCCGACTAATATCATATGTCCCTGAAATCGATCAGTGCCTTTTCCCTTTATCGTATCTTCGGCCCATTGCTCACCTGTGGCATGATTCCGAAATCCGAAAAAGCCCTCTTGGAATCTGCAGCCCCGGGGTCCCCTTGATTTTCATATTTGAAACTAGCATGTTCACCGCCTCGTTGAATAGTCTCGTCTTCGGGATGGAAATAAAAGAGCTCGTTTTTGGATTTTGAGGATCCCTTCTTTCCTTTCTTCTGTGGGCGCGATTCTAGAGCGTCAACTTTTGAAGGAACCTCGGTATAGGTTTTCGATAGGATTAGAAAGTTACTAAAATTATATGGTTCGTTCTGGGACGCAACGTCAACATTGCTAGGGAGAGCATGGCGGGAGCAGGAGCAGAGAAGTCTAACCTCTTCGAGTGCCCAATTGATTTCTTCCAAGAGCATCTTGTACATTGGTGGTACAATCTCGGTAGGGACATTGATCAATCGCTCGGTAAGTATTAAACCCGTGTGCGAAGAAGCGGAACCAGAGAGGAGCTCTTTGAGCTTCTTATTAAGATTTGAGGACGATTGCGATCTCGCGAGGACGTATTTAATGAGATCCTGGACCACTGGGTTATCCTGGGAGTAGCTGTCAGAGGAGACCGAATGACGTTGCTAGAGGAAAGATCCAATTACCTTGTGTTCCTGTAGATTCACAACAGTAAGGAATGCGTAGGGGTCGCTCTCGTTCCCATCCACCTTGACGGTAGTTCCCAATAGCGGCTGCGAAAGAATCAGGTCTGCCAATGCAGATAAGTCGAAGAGGGTATTATCAGTGTCAAAAAGCTGTCGAAGAAGTGTCTTCAGGCCGTGGAAGTCATGGTCAGGCTGTGGATCAAACATTTCGAAATCGACATTTACAATGTCCAGTTCCTAATCTCGTTTGTCCTTGTTAGAATAGGATGCGAACTTCGCTTTTCGAGTAGGATTGAACTGACCTCCGAGTCGGAGCTTGAATCGGAGTTGTTATTCTCCTCTCCCCCACAACCCATTTCCATATCTCCGGCCTCGATATCCTTAGGGACCTTTCGTTTGCCCATTATTGCGAACGCTGAATGTTGAGGTTGATGGCAAGTGACTCGCCTAGTTTTTTTTGAACCCTCCAGACCTGATTAAGCCGGGTAACTTAACTCTTATTCTGACGGGTCCTGGCCTGTGATGTTCTCGGCCATCCTCAATTCCGGCAACCACCCTATAACAAGGAGGAACAATACACAATGTTGCTACTACGAACGATCCAGCGCTCGCTCCCACGACTTCAGGCCACCGATACCCGTTCATTTCTTAAAACTCTGTCCTGCGCCACCTCGCGATTCAGTCTCCCAACCCTCTCCCGGACAATCGCTACCACCCCCCACTTTCATACCCTCCTAACCCCCGCCGAAACATCTCCTCCAACTTCACCCCCCCCGAAAACCCCACCCACGGCACAATCCAATGCGGCACCTACATTGCACGAGTCCCTCACCCTCTTAACAGCGCTCAAAGCCCAGCCGTCGAAATACATCACTGTCAAGATCCATGGTTTCTCCTTCCTCCTTACGCCGGGAGACAAGGTGGTGTTACCGTTCCTTCTCAAAGACGTCAAGGTCGGTGATATCCTACGGTTAACGCATGCGACCACATTGGGATCAAGAGACTACACAATGAAGGGGAATCCGTATATCGACGAGCGACTTTTTGAATGTCGGGCTACTTTTCTAGAAGAGACATCGGAACCCTTGAGGAAGAAGGAGAAGAAGAAGAGGAGGACGCGAAGGATCAAGACGGTGAAAAGTAAGCACCGGTATAGCGTACTGAGAATCAAAGAGTTGATCATCATTGATGTACCGCCAGCGGTAGCGGCGGCGACAGGCAACAACACTACTACATAGAGGGATCAGAGGGTTGTGGGTGCGCCAGCAGGGAGGGGGATGAGGTACTAGATGGGACCTCTCATAATTGACTGTAAATATAGAGGTCCTACCGAAAATTGCTTGCTAAACATGTGCTGCAATACCAATATTTCAAACCAGACATTAGCACAACACCTATACAGTAAACCATAACCCCGTGCTAGCCTCTAGAGAACTGTTTGGATTGGTGTCCGAGGAGCGTTGTGGCATCCCACGTGCTTGTGCTCTGGTAGTTCTGTTGTTCATGGGGCATCAAAGCTTAAAGGCTGTGCCTGCCGGGGTTTGGGGTCTCAGGTTGACTAGCCAAATGAGCAGAACTTTGTGGAAGCGAGTGAATGAGATTTAGCGATGACTAGGTTCTGATACTAATTCTTTCTTGAACCCCCCCAAGGGGGGCCACAACCGGAAGAGCCGAGATACAATTGCTCCTCCAGAAGCAACCGAGGACGCAGAACAGACAAAGAACCCCGCGCACCACCTCGACCAAAACAACCCCAAAGGCAACTGAATTCGAAAAACGGACACTCTCCGGGCAATTCCAGGTCACTTACTAGACCAGCTCCAACAGACGACCTAAGGATGCTTGCTATGATCCCAGTGATCCGAATCTGCGCCCATCAGCCGTCCTACTCCCCCGAAATGTGCCCCCACCGCACGGAAACTTACCCGGATGAATCTCCGGCTCCCTAATATGCTTCCTAATATCCACCTTCCTCTCCCCCTCGATTCCAAACCTCCGATTCCTGCTATCAACTACACTCTCAACCCCCTTCGTCTCCTTCAAAAAGCTGCCCATAAGCATGGGCGCCCCCAACGGCACCTGATCCCCGCGATCCACCTGCCAAAGATGGTACGTCTTCCCATAAAGCTTCACTAACTCTTCCATCTCCGCGGTCTCAGCCTTCTCCCAGACCACCTCTGGAACGAGCGGTGGCCTCGGCATGATTAGAACCCCGCCCTTCACTTCAAAGACGTGGGAGTGCCAGAGCTTGCGTTCTTCCGTTGGGAGCGTCTCGTAGATGCGCGGGGCTATCATGTATTCTATGCCGATCAGACGGGCGTTTTTTTCGGGGGAGTCGTAGATTACGCATTGGCGGACGTCCGGGATCTGTCAGTCGAGAATAATAGGGAGGGAGGGGAGGAGGATACACCTTCGGTGATGTGGGAGCAGTAGTGCTGTGCTTCGACCACGCGCGTGGGGTCCTCGGTATATACGTGGAAAGCATTGAGCCATGCGCAGATGCTATTTACTGGGTCGAGATTCTGGTGACCGTGAGTCCACCATGTCCGAAAGCGAGATACAGGGGGGCAAGAGGGGGAATAACTCAACTTGTGTCGCTTTGGCAGCTCCTTCCAAAACTAACTGACTGGACGGTACAGGGCCCCCAGCGGCGCTTGTCTCGCAGTGTGCCATTTTAGATATTCTTCACAACCGGTTGGGGTCTTGGCCTTTCCTGCAACCTACGATACCGGTACCTACAATCGCGAATATTGCGGGCGTGCCGTTTATATAGAGTTGGGGCACCTAAATATCGCCTAAGCTGTTTCCTATGGCGAGTGCCTGACGTCACATTCCATCCCGGGGAACCATTCGCAGGATGACGATTGTAGTCTTCTGTCTGGACAGTTCTACCAGCGCAACCCTCCAGTACCGGTACGGGTACTACAATATAATAGCTCTCGCCGTGTGATAACTGTTTCAGAGGCTCTAAGGTGCGTTGAAGAGTTGCTCTACCGGTAGTCTAAAGGCGACATCAATCTCCTTCACGAGATGAACCCCTGGTTACCGCATAGCCAAGTTCTTTGGAGAACGAGTGCCAGAATCTTATCTTCCAGCCCAGGGTGAACCGAGCCGCGTAGGAAGACTATCGGAGCTGCGGACGAATGGGGGGCCCAATACAAGAGGGTTTTCCCTCCTTAAGGAACTAACTTGGGGGGGATCCCTTTGAGCATAGGGTGACCAGCCGGATGCCTGTACAGTGCTGCACAAATATCGGAGAACGAGATACTTACCGGTATTACCGTAGACATGCAGCTATGATACCAGGAGATTTTTTTTTAAAAAAAAAAAAGAATCGAGGACGGTCCGGTATTGGTGAGGTGTATTAGTAGTAGAACTGGGTAAACATAGTAAAAAATTAGAAAAAATATGTTTACCCACAATTCTGCAAGGGGGGACAGACAGTCATGCTATGATAGCTATGATAAATTATGACATGATCAGAAGTTCTGACACCCTGACGTTGCCAAGCCTTTAGGTCTAGCAAACACCCTGATTGCAAACTCTGGCAACACCAAATCTCAAGGCCCCAGCAAGCCCAACCTCGTTCCCAAAACTTCCCCGCAATGGACACCGAAGGCCTGGGGGAAGCTACTGGTACTCACCACCGCGAAAGCCGAAGAGACCGGAAACGAGAAAAGTCCCGAGACCGCGACCACGAGCGAAACGACCGTGAGCGCTCCCACAGACACCGCCGCTCCGAGCACCGTTCCGGCCACCAGTCCCACCGCGAAAGACCCAGATCAAGATCCAAATCCAAAGACCGGGACCGGGACCGCCACCATAGGCGAGAGCGCGATTCCTCGGACCGTCATCACCGCACCCACAGAAGGAAACGTTCACGCCATGAAGACCAAGACCGAGACCGTCATCGCCGAAAATCCCGAAGGGCCGATTCTCCCCCTCTCATCGAGAAGAGGAGGGAGAGGGAATCTGCGGACCCACTAGAGCTGGAAACGTCCAACTCTTCGACACACCCCGATACCGTTTCCAAACCTACGCTCACGCGCGACTCTTGGATGCAAGAGCCGGATACTAACTTCATCGACTACACGCAGAAAGGGGCGAGGAGGCCCGCACCTCAGCCGGTGGCTGCGCCGGACTATCGGCCGATAATTCACAGGAATGAATTGAATACGCAGTTGAAGGAAGGGAAGTCACTGGATGAGTACGCTGATGAGACGGAGGAAGTAACATACACCTTCGGTGACGCGGGTTCAAAATGGCGGATGACGAAGTTGAAGAGGTGTTACGAGTTTGCGAAGGAGGAGAGGAGGACTGTTGAGAGTGTTGCGTTGGAGAGGTACGGCAACCTGAAGGAGTTTGACGACGCACGGGAGGAAGAGATTGAGTTGGAGAGGTGGTCGACGTATGGGAAGGATAGGAAGGATGTGAAGGAGAAGCCGACCGGGGCGCTTTATCGGCAGAGGATGGAGAAGGTGAGAGCTGAAGAGAGTGCCAGGCAGTCCAGAGAGAGAGAAAGACATGGGTCTGAGTTTCCTCAAGGGAATGTTACCGAAACTGTTTCCAATACGAAGACTACGACCGCCTTTGATCAGACTGCGTTGAACAGAATGAAAGCTGCTCTTATGAAAGCACAACTGAGAGGTGATCCGAAGGCAGCCGTGATGGAGAAGGAGTTCAATGAGGCCATGGCGGCAAACAAGAAGGAGCCAGAAGTTGTAGTCCTATCCGCCATGGATTCAAGAATGCTAGCTGGCTCAGGGGGGCGAGTTGGCAGGGAAGTAGTAGAGGGAAAGAAAGGAAAGCTTGTGGAAAAGGACGATATGAGTTTAGACGACATGGTCCGGGAAGAGAAGCGAACCAGAGGCCAAGTCCGAGGTGGCGAAGGGATGCTCCTGGCGGAAAGAATCTCACGAGATGCCAAATTCGATGCAAGTTCTGCTCTACCATCCTTGATCATGCCTGTACTAATATCTACAGGATAACCTCGACTACCTCGACGAAAACGCCAGCCGCCTAGCCAAACGAGTCCAAAGGAACGAAGTCGACCTAAAGAACATGGCCATCAGCGAATTCAAGAAGATGCAGAAGGTCCTCGACAATTGCCCCCTGTGCCAACACGAGGACAAACCACCTATCGCGCCCGTTGTCTCACTTGCAACAAGAGTCTACCTAACCCTCCCCACAGAACCGGAGTTGACGCCGGGCGGAGCAGTTATCGTTCCCATTCAACATAGGGTAAATATGATGGAATGCGACGACGATGAATGGGAGGAAGTTAGGGTTAGACCCCATACCCATTACAGTGCTTTCCCTCGAGAAAAAATTAACATTGTGCCATAGAACTTCATGAAAGCCCTAACCCGCCACTACACATCCAAAAACCAATCCGTCCTCTTCTACGAAAACGCTGCTTCACCAGAACGCAAGCGACACGCGGCCATAACTGCGATCCCACTCCCGCAAGAGCTGGGCGACATGGCTCCCGCCTACTTCAAAGAAGCCATCCTCTCAGCAGACGAAGAGTGGTCGCAACACAAAAAAATAATAGACACGCTCGCGAAAGCGCGCTCGGGACTGGGCAAGATGGCGTTCCGCAAGTCGCTCATAAAGGAGATGCCGTACTTTCACGTATGGTTTGAGATCGATGGTGGGATGGGCCATGTCATTGAGGATGCGAACCGCTGGCCCAAGGGTGACCTATTCGTGAGGGAGTTGGTGGGCGGGATGTTGGAGTGCCCGCCTGATGTTATCAAGCGACAAGGACGCTGGGTCAGAGGCAGGGATTCCAGGGTCGAAGGGTTTAGGACAGGGTGGGATGAGTTCGACTGGACGAAAGTTTTGTACGATAATTAGAGTGTGTGGAGGAGGATGGGGGGGGGGGGGGGGAGTATATCATTGAACTACTGATGTTCATACAATAATAGGATATATAATAGGACATGATTGACAAATCCTTATAGCGCCAATAATGAAAGCACACCCATGGCACCTTTTTTCCTAAAAAAAACCCATCAACCTCCAAAAACCACCCCAGCAAAGCACCAACAAACACATCCAAATCACAACCCATCACTCACACACCTCCAACCCCAACACTAACCAAACACCACACCACCAACCAGCCAGCACACCACAACCAAAAACCCCCCTCCAACCAACCAACCCACCACACAAGACCCAGTATGATACCAAGACAAGACAACATCACATCCACAAGCTCCAACACAAAACCCCCGAATTAACCGCTCGTCAGACCGACTAACCAAACGAACCCCCCCCTCCCAATAAAAGCATTATCAACACTGAGGGAGACAAAGAGAGGGGGTACTGTATTGCACCTGTACTGTACTCATGGTAATGGTGCTTCTCGCCCACACACGCCCGCGGCCTCCTACCGTGCCGTGATGGGGGGGTGGGTTTTGTCCATGGGGTTTAGATGTTAGTTTGGTGGCCTGTGGTATTGCATCCATTCCCCCGGGGGGGGGGAGGAGGGTTGTATCGAGTCGGGCGTTTCGCCCGCGCTCTGCACTCGTAGTTTAGATACCGTGTTGACGGTTAGAGCGTAGGGGAGCTTTGGTTAACACATCAAGGTAAAGCATATCACTGTAATAAACAGTAGCGGGGCCCCCATGCCCGATAGTAAAGAACAAGGGGTATTCAATACACGACTTCGAGCTTTCAGGAGTCTATATTATGATGTGACTAGAGTACAGCCAGTCCCTGAACCATCACCTGTCCTGAACCAAGCCCACCGCACGGGGAGCAGGAAGAAAAGAAAAAAGACGGGAAAAGACACAAAGAAGACTTCTATTCGTAACTTTACACCACCGTGCTCTAACGCTCAAGGCCTATCCGTTAACCTCTTCGCATTGCTACCCACCCCAACCGCACAAATGTTAGCTCTCTCCACAACAGCTTCAACCAAAATAAGGCAGTGACTAGTGGGGGAACGAACCTGGTATGCGCCAGCAAAAACTTGACGCAAGTAAGAGTGTACTTACACGCTCTGGTCCATGCCTCATCCTGGTTAAACGCAAGACGAATGCAGCTATCCCCAATCTTGTCCTTGACAACCTTGTACGGTAGTTTCACCCCAGAATCAGTCCTCTCGACAAACTCGCCAAGCTGGCGGAGGCATTCCAGGAACGCAACCATCGCCTGGTCGAATTTGCGGTGCATGAACATCCGGCCCAGCGGGAGGTCACCGGATGAGAAGAGCTCTAGGATTGTGACCTTGGATTCGTTTGCGGGGTTGGCGGGTGGGTCGTGTTTTTCTATCTTAGAACTAGAGCCCATGGGTTTTAGGCGGTAAGAGTCGAAGGCGAAGTTTAGTTTTTCGGCGATGGTAGCGAGGAGGAGGAGGGTTTGGCCCCAGGCTGCGTTGATTTCGGTCCATTCTACCTGCTTTGTGTGTGAGTTAGGAAATGGTTCTCATTTGGAGGGTTACGTACAGGCTGATTAGGAAGTCTTCCCAGCCGCAAGCCGTTTATTGTGCCAAAGTAACCATCATGGCCAATACAAAATGTGTCATTATACACATTAGTCCTTTGCAGTTTCTCCAGCTGCCCAGAGTCATGATCGTATTGGAGGTTAACCCCATCCCGTTCATTCTGGAAGGCCTCTAATCGGAGCGAGAAGGAGTTCTTCTCTCTCCAAAACTCTTGCTCCTCCTCATCCAGCTTCTTTTTCTCTTCCTCAAGAGCCCTGATTTCGGCCTCGACAGCCGCTTTCTCCTGCTCCATGTCCTGAAGCTCCCGCAATTCAGCCGCAGCCTGGACCTTCAGTTCCTCTAGCTCCTTCGCGGCAGCTTCACGTTCTGCATCCGTGGGTATCTCTGCATTGACTCGCTTGAGATAATCTACATACGCGTCACGTTCCCTCGTGGCATTTGCGTAGCGTTTAGCCAACCCTTCGGTCAACACCTCCGAGCACTCTTGGCATATCGGATGATCTATATCCGACCTCGAAGACAAAATATCGAACAAAACTGCAGAGGTCCTCATCTGCTGCGACAGGGCGTTCTGATCATAGTCATTCCCGACGGTGTATTCGGCCTGCGAAGAGCTCCCCGCATTACGAGACGTTGCCTGTGTCGGCAGGGCAACCTGCGATTGCGATAGCATAACGTATGAATCTGCCGTGTTTTGGTAAACCGATTTAGAGTCCCGTCGGGAATGTGGCACCGCCGGGGGCGGTGGGTGCTTAGGTTGAACCGTGCGCTTGATTAACGGGGCTGGGGAGTTTCGGCTCGCCTTCTCGTAAACATCTCGCCGGTCCTGGGGGTATGTTGGTCGCTGCGGGGTAGGTGCTTGGTCTGCAGAGTGTGGACGCCCGTTTGCGGAGGATCCTAATCTCGGGTTTGAGTTATGAGCCTGGGCGTGCACTCGTCAGGGTGCGAGCGGTAAGGGCGTAGGGTAAAGATCTTACCAACTAAAAGATTGAATGCTGCCGGGCTTAGGTCGTCTAACGATCCGTGAAGCCTGATAGCCTGCCGACATTTCTGGCACTTCATGATGAACAGCGGGGCGCAGAGGTGGGGGTTGGGAATCCTCTGTCCGAACCAGAGGTATTATTGTATCTGGTACGGTAGGTAAACTTATCTTCGAGGGGTCGAGGCGATAGGCGTTCCCTCCCGTCAGAAACACAGTATCGATGTGAGCTCGGAGGTGTAGATCGCCAATCTTTGATTTTGCGGGATTCAGAAAAGAGGAAAATGTGCTATTGTAATGTCTTCCCCAGTGCAGTGCATAGATTAGCAGGTTAGATTCAGGCCCCAGGAACTCCGTCATGCGCCCAGACCTGTCCAGAATCACGTGACCATTATTTCAACGAATCTTGCGATAGGGTCTATGGTAGAACAAGGAACAGTGGCCTCAGTATTTAATCCTAGAGAACAGCTATTTCGTTCAGACTCCTAGAACGCGGGAACCTCCGCAGAGAAACCACTCCCTGCCTTAAAAACATCAAGAAACAAGTAGCGTGTTCCGGGTCAGTATCCACACTAAACACCGGTACGAAGTTATGGCCTGAAGGATTCTTCCATATCGAGCTCGGTGATGTAGGTTTGATAATATGTGTAACCACTCTAATAATACCAGCCCCTAAGTTATCATCAAATAACTCTTATACTATCATACCCGCATTACGTGATTAAAGGAAAGAATAATGAAATCGAAGCAGCAAAGCCCTCTCCACCAACTCCATTTTATGCTGCATGTGCGCCATTCTATGCAAAAACGATACCCCACAGGTTTTATTACACTCCATGCAAAGACATTGGCCGTCTTAAGCTTTCCTTGTTCTTCTCCTTGTGTTCCTGCTTGGGGTATCCTGCACCTCGTCTTTCGTCTCAATATTCACCTTAGGTGCCTTCTTCACTTCCTCGGTCCGGAGCTCCCCCGCTCTGCTCCTGGTGCCTCTGCTAGGGGTGTCCATTGGAAGAGGCGCGAGCGAGGGTGGAAGCTTTGCCTTGGCTCTTTCTTCGTGCTCCTTTGCCTCCTCTTCTTCTAATATTTTCCTAAGAGCCTCCTTTCTCCGGCGGATCTTCTCCATTAGTTCCTTATCTTCTTCGTCGAGCTTTGGTTCGTCTTTCATATCCTCCTGCGCCTTTTTCTTGCCCTTCTCCTTGGCACGCTTAATGGCTCCTGCCTTTTCGGCGTCCTTGATCATGAGTTCGGCGAGTTCCCACAACTGTTTTCCGAGTTCTGGTGAAGCGAGCTTGTCGGCGCGGTATCTACAGAACGCTTGTTAGTGCAACGCCAAGCTATACAACGAGCCGCCCCTCTTACTTCTGGTTCTGGCATTCCCTGAGAAACTTTCCACCCTCCCCCATCCCACACTCTGGGCTCATGGCTGCTGCCAAAAATGACTGAGCTCCTTGTTGTGGATCCTTCAAAACCAGCCACCAGATCGGCCACATCACAAGATAAACCCCCAGCCCCCAGAGGCTACCCATGGTAATCCATCTTCTGGCACCCGGGGTGCGTACAAGTCCCGGATCGATGTTATAAATACGAACATTGTTTGGCTGCTTATCCGGTCGGACGTAGGAATCGAGGCGCCTTTGAAACTCAAGGCAGAACGCCATCAAGGCCATCTTCGAAGCTCCGTAGCACAGCCATGGGGTTCTGAGAGGGTATTTCCGTCGGAAGAACTGAGGGTCGTTGAGATCAAGGTCGCCGGCGATATAACTAGAACACGTAGCTAGTAAAATGCGGACATCTCTGTCCGGAGGTTGAGCCCTCATACACGGCGCAAGAATGTTCAGCAGCTGGAAGTTGGCCAGAAAGTTCAAACCCCAGTGCGCTTCAATTCCGTCTTGAGTCGTAGTTCGGGGGGTGTAGGGCGGTGCCATCACTCCAGCACAACAAACGACCATATCGAGTCTTCGAGGGGGGGTGTTGTCGATGAACCTGGTAGCAAAGAGACGGATGCTGTGCAAAGACGAGAGGTCGCATTCCTCCGCATAAATAAAAGGATTTCCGTGACGCTCGCGAAGGTCTTCGATGTAATCAACCGTGAAAACGTCCGACGCGCTCCGGACAAGAAGTACCAAGTGCATCCCTCTAGCAGCAAGATCGTTGACCACAGCAGCGCCTACCCCCGACGTTCCACCCTAGCATCCAGAGCTTTAGTCTCCAGCCTTTACTAGAGGCAGTCGAGTGTGCGAACATACCGTTATTATTGCGACCTTCCCATGCATCACACGCTCATTCCTATTTCGGTATCCGTTGAAGTAGATCTTCAAGACGACAACAGCAAGAATCCATGGCACGACCTTGAGAGCTGGTGACAGATATGGTACCGAATCGATACCATTGTAGTAGATCTCCCCAAGCATGGGGATCGGCATTTTGGCTGAAGGGTGGGAAGCAAAATGAAAAAGATATCCGCAAAATGGGAAAGAAAGGAAAGAGAGAAAGAAAGCTCCGGGTCGAAGTGTCGAAGTAGAAACGTGGAAGGTTTCGGGGCTCGAAGGTTCCGTCCCTAATGCTCGCGTTTTACCAAGAGCCAACTCTCTTCAAGTGGGTTAGGGTTTCTCGAATCCGCCCAAGCGGTATGATACAGCACTGTACTCGAGTACAGTACTGCACCCGCGGCCGAGCACGATACTTGGCAATTCAGCAAGTAGACTACCGGTACAAGTACTTGTGCTTGTACCATCATATAAATTCGTTAAATCCACCATCGCCCATCGGTCAGGATCCCTGCCAGATCAGAGACAAAACACCCCGACAGGGGAAAGTGTTTTCCAGACTGAGTACTGATAGCTGGAGGGGTGGGTGTCGTCCAGATCTCGTTAATAGATATTCGTAATTTCGCTAACCTACTAGGCTGAGCCCATTGTGGTTTAGATAGTGGTTTTGGCCGAGATCTCCGATGGCAGATTTAACGAGTTTATACGATACAAGTACTGGTATCAGTAGTACAGTACTTGTACAAGTACCGGTAGACTACGGTACTCGTAAGTGCCAATGTGACAGAGCCCGCTTGTACCAATGAATCAGCGGACTGCCGACACGAAGGGATGCCAACTCTACTTGACTGCCAGAGTCACTAATTCTACTGTTTTCAGATCAAGAAGAAGAAAAAAAAGGGCAACCATAATTTTGTTCTATGTGCAGATTCCCTAACTACCATACCGCGGCGCTTGTTAGGACAATTATCCGAGCACGACCACCATATTTTTTGTGAACAAAATCCCACCAGTAGATAAAAGACAAAACCCCAAGGGAAAAAACAAAAAGGAAAGCTGGCATAAACTTTTGGGGGCTGAAGCATAACAAAAACTGGATTAAGGAAATAATAGAATAAAATAAATAGAGGGGAAGATGAGAAAAGGTTTAACGAGTTGACATGGCTGCACGATCTTCAAATTAGTGACATTCTGTGTAGTAGTGAGAAGTGTGCCGCGGTAATTAATTCATACCTTTTGTGACAACCCTCTTGAGAGCGAGCTCCTTCTTCTTCAGGTCATCGGCACCAGCATCTTCCACCTCAAGTTGAGCCATGGCATCACTGAGAGAAGACTCGATCTTTTCCCGGGCACCCCTCTTCAATTTCAAGCTCATCGTCGGATCGCTAACGATCTCCTCAACTCGTGATATGTAAGACTCAAGTTGTTGCCTAGCCTCGAACTTCTTGGAGTAGGCATCGTCAGTAGACTTGAACTTCTCCGCATCCTGGACCATCTTCTCAATCTCGGTGGAAGAAAGTTTCCCGACAGAGTTAGAGATAGTAATGTTTGCGCTTCTTCCAGTTGACTTCTCAATAGCGGTGACCTTGAGGATACCGTTGACATCGACCTCAAAGATGACCTCTAGAACAGCATCGCCCGCCTTCATTGGAGGAATCGGAGCGAGAGTGAATTCTCCGAGAGAGGTATTGTCCTCGCAGTTAACTCGCTCACCCTGGAACACGGGGAACTGGACAGTGGTTTGGTTGTCGGCAACAGTGGTGAAGGTCCTCTTCTTGATGGTCGGAACGGTTTGGCCACGCTATAGTGCAGTGGTTAGCAAACGAACGAGTGCAACCGAGAGACCATACACCTACAGGAACAACGGGGGCGAAAATGTTACCCTCCATAGCAACACCCAAAGATAGAGGAACAACATCGAGCAAGAGCAGATCGGCTGTCTCCTCAGAGGTAGCCTTGCCAGAGAGGATACCGGCCTGAACGGCAGCGCCATAGGCAACGGCCTCGTCGGGGTTGATACCCTTCTCCAACTTCTTACCATTGAACAAGTCGCTCAACAGCTTTTGAATCTTGGGGATACGGGTAGAGCCTCCGACCAAGACGACCTCGTCGACAGCAGATTTAGCGAGACCAGAGTCCTTAAGGACCTGCTCGACAGGTGCAATGGTGCTCTTGAACAGGGAAGCATTGATATCCTCGAAGCGGGCACGGGTAATAGAGGTGTTGAAGTCATTGCCACCGGAGAGCGAATCGATCTCGACAGTGGTCTGGGTAACGGAGGATAGAGTTCGCTTGGCACGTTCACAAGCAGATCTAAGACGACGAAGAGCACGAGGATCATCAGAGATGTCAAGTTGGGTCTTCCTCTTGAACTCGGCTTTGAAATGGTCCAACAGAGCGGTATCAAAGTCCTGACCGCCCAAGTGGGTGTCGCCAGCAGTTGCCTTGACAGTAAAAACACCACCTGAGAATATTAGTCATTGATAACGTAAATATCCGTGCCAGACAATCTCACCTTGAATGTGAAGAAGAGAAACATCAAAAGTACCACCACCGAGATCGAAAATGAGAACATGCCTCTCCTTATCGGACTTTCCAGCGCCCAATCCGTAAGCAATAGCAGCGGCAGTGGGCTCATTAATAATACGGAGAACATTCATGCCAGAAATAGCACCAGCATCCTTGGTAGCTTGACGTTGGTTGTCATTGAAGTAAGCAGGAACAGTGATAACTGCCTTCTCTACGGCCTGTCCAAGCTTGGCCTCGGCAATCTCCTTCATCTATATATAGCCAAGCAATATCAGAATTACGTTCACGCATCAACGTTTAATGCCCACGTACCTTGGTCAAAACCATAGATGAGATTTCCTGGGGTGAGAATTGCTTCGTCTCTCCAAGATACTCAACTTCAATGTACGGGTTCCCCTCGCGGTCGATAACCTTGAAAGGCCATGACTGAATATCCTTCTTCACACTTGGCTCATCGAACCGACGCCCAATCAATCGCCTATGTTTCGAAACAAAATATGTTAGCAAAAATCCCTAGGAAATCCCGTATATGCAGAGGTTCCTGATACAGAAGAAGAAGTAGAGGTCAGACAACACGAAGAACCTACTTAGCATCAAATACAGTATTTCTAGGGTTCAAGGCGGCCTGATTTTTGGCGGCGTCGCCAATCAATCGCTCCTTCTCAGAGAAGGCAACGAAAGAAGGGGTAACACGGTTACCCTGCTCGTTAGCAACTATCGCGGAGCAGAATTGTCAGTCTCGCGAGCAATGGAGAGTAGTTTTATGTCCGCGAACTTCATTCGAGCGCAAGGTCCAGCAAACTCAATAAAAGGCAAAACTAACTGATTTCAACACCGTTACCCTCGTAGATGGCAACACAAGAGTAAGTGGTACCTGGGAGCAGACGAAAAACCCATGATTAGTCGGTATGAACTTGACAAGACCAAGGTCAATGTGAATGAGAAAAGGGCGAAGAGGGGAATCGCATACCAAGATCGATACCAATTGCGCCTTCGTATTTTCCTTCCATTTCGATTCTCTTTTTTCCTATAAAGTATTAAAAGGAGGATGGGGATTGAGTGGGGCGAAGGGGAGAAGACGGTGTGGTGAGATGAGGAGGGGACGAGGAGATAAAAGTGCGTTTTGTGGGTGATTTTTTTTTCTTTTCTTCCCCTTATCCCCTCCCTCCCCCTCCGCTGTGTGTGACCGCATTCGGCGAAGAGATGGGGTTAGTCAGCACTTATCGGGACTCTTTTCTTTCTTTTTTCTCCCGAGCCCTTACAAGCACTCGAGTACTCGAGTAGTACATGTACACCCTGCGGGGGTTTCAGTGAGCCTCAACCTCCAGCGCGCTCAAGTAGGTAATTATAACAGAAACGGACCCTGTAACAGGCTGAAAATGTTTTCAACCCATTCTCTGCAAACTACCAACCGAAAAAATTGGTAGGATGTCAGCATGAGCAAAAGCTTCTTCAAAACACTTGTCAGGTTGTTTTAGTACGATCTGGTTTTGTTAGACTAGCCTTTGTAGAGGCTACCGTAGTCTTAGTTGCTCGTGTGCCTGTATGGCACTGCATACTACCGTATGATAGGCTCTTGCGGAGAGCCCTATCGGCATAAACTTTGAGGTAGGCGGTGGGAGGGAAAAAAATTTAAAAAAATTCAACACATAAACTCCCCGAAGCGGAGCGCAGTGGCCAAACTTCTCTTCCAGGCCTTTCTTCCCCTGTTGGGATCGTGTCTGGTTACGGTTTCGGTCCCGTATGTTTAGCCACGGTATGCTGACAGGTCAAGGATGATATCCAGCACCGCGTGTGCCTGATCTGTGTCATTTTTTTTGGCGCTTGCGGGCAGCAAATACCGCTAAGACTCGCAATTTTGTGATGGCTCATAGGACATCACGCGGCTCCAATCATTTGTTCTCCTACGGGTCCGAGTCCTCGCACCCTTCTAAAAACTTCCCTAAATCGGCTTCTGTCGTCTGCGGTCTTGTGATAAGTCGCTGAAATACTGGTGTTATGCAATAGCTGTATTGACATTCAGCATCTGCCGGTAGGCCATGCAAGGCAGCCGCAGCGTACTTACAAGCAGCGTATGCGATAGAATAGATACACCATCCAGCAAGAATTTTAGCACCGTTAGCGACATCCGCGCTGAGAAGGGCAAAAGTCGATGGGCTCTTGGAAGGGGAAGGCAGTGGCGAGTGAGAGAGTGTATTCTTCTATAAATCACGGATGGTGGGAGTAGTTAAATTGAGATGGTAAGTAATCGGGGTCTGTTGTAAAATTTCACTGGCACTGTAGTTTTGTTCACCCAACCGACTACCGTAGACCAGCCATCCGTATCTACCGCACTCCGGTCTTGAAAAGGGTGCGAATAATTGCCCTCTCTTTGGCAATATATCGGAGTGTCACTCAGTACAGCATGGGCACCTGGAACATTAGAAACACGGTGAGTTAATCATTGACCCGCGACGGACAATGCCATCCCTGCATTCATCAGTGCACACATGGACGGACACCCGCTCACAGAGCACGGAGGTATCAGAACAGCAGACTTGTTGTTTTCTAGGCGAGTTCATAGCGTATCGTACAGGTTCCACTGGAGCCACACCACCACCGCAAAGCTTGAGAACTTGTACCGGTGTTACGCCAACCGCAAGGTTGGAACTGAGTACAGCATATAGCTATCCAGCCACCATCTCGTGCCTCGCCCCCCCGAGACAACAGAAACGGCACCCGGATGTGGTGGGGGGGGCAAGAAAGGAAAATAAAAAGAATTAGCACAATTACCATGATATCCCAATCACATGCAAAGTGAAACAAAAACAGGAACCAAGAAAGCCGAAGAAGGAAAGCTAGTGAACCTCTCAATACCCATTGTGCCTGCAGACAATACACTTAAAAGCCCACTCGTCGCTATGGACATTTTCAGCGAGTAAGTTGTCTAAACACTTCCTATGGAAAATGTGCCTGCAATGGAAAACCACCAACTCCTTCGCTTCCTCCTGCCCGGCATTACCAGCACTGCTAGCCTCCCCTGTTTCCTCTAGCGGATCGGTTGTCACCCGTGCGCGGCTTTTTCCTCTCGCGACAGCAGATAAGGGACCTTCGGAAACCAGTCTTCGCTCCTCCCTTATGCTTTCGAGCCGCTGGGCGTTTTTTAGTCTTGCTTTTTCCCATGCACTGTATATACCGCCAGCGGCGCCGGGGCCCCAAAGTTTCTTATTGCAGGCTTCGCAGGTTTGATTTGCTGGGCGCCAGCCTTTTTGGCGGAGAGTTGCGGCTTCGTCGACATGCACGAATAAGTCTTTTTCCAGGAGGCGGTTCGCTAGGGCGAGAATCTGTTCTTCGTAAATGTAAGCTTCGAAGATGTCGCCAAGGACGTTACGAAGGTCTCCGAGAGTGGGGGAGGCTTTTGATGCACGGGACAGGAAGGCTCGGAGGACTCGCAGAAATGAGACTGTCCGTGAAGAGGATGTTGCAGCGAGCAGCGCCGAGAACACCGTCTGGACAAACATTCGGAGTGAGACGGCTACTTTTTCGCCGTCAATCTCTATCGCATCTTTTTCGCTCAATGCTCCATTTGTCTCAGCAGGTGTGTGACTGCTCACGGGTAGCTTCCCCCGGATGGAGATGCAGTTCCTCGCGATCCGCACAACGGTATCAACAAAATCCAACCAGAGCAGTTCCTCTTCGTTAAGCGGTTCGTTGCTGGATGTGTGTCTTGATCCGGCGGTCTTGAGTAATCGTTTCCCAGTCTTCATCTGGCCCTGGCAAAGCCAAATACCTACTTGCGCATACTTCTGTAGTGAACGCAAGCCCTCAGATATTGCTTCATTGTTTGGGTGCGGGCTAGGCGCGCTTGCGCCAGCAGCGAGTAAACCTTCCAAGGCTAGTTCCAGAGTCCCAAAGTGTGCTATGAGCCTATCCATAGCTTTTCGTATCTCCCCCTCACGGGCCATTAACATGACGGCAGCATCCATAGCCCCACTGCTCTCCATCGCCGGTAACACCTTGTCCAACCGAAGATCTCCGGATTGAAGACCACCAACATAGGTATTGACATGGTCAGGCTCAAATTCACAGATGAGTCGGATATAAAGCTCGACAAACGACACGTTTTGTGTCACCGCTGGTCGCTTGAAATCGTTTCCTTCCTTGGTGTCTGAGGGTTCGAGGATTGCCTGAAGATATTGAAACTGCTCCTGGGGTTGGTCCTCGATTGAGCCTAGCATGACACTGTGGATATCAGGGGCACACGCATTGATGACGGTAGCTGTCCGGGCACAATCTATGTCCATGAGTTGTCGTGCGTGCTGCTCAATGACACGGCGGACTTCTTTTGTTTGCCTTTCGTTCAAACTGCTACCTGGTCGCAGATAATCCCAGATACAATCAAAAACAGTATCCTGCGACTCTCCGTCCTCAAAGTACGTTTTTATAAGCCTAGCATACTGTTTCTCGGATCGGAAGATCGACTTGAGGACCCGGAAGAACTTAGCATTGGTAAAGAGTTCGACTAGAACATCGATATCAGGAGGGCGGTAAACAGTGAGCAAACATTCAACGCTTAGCTGGCAGTCATCGGCAATATCTTCCCCGGGACAATTGCAGAGCCCAACAATCACACGATGCAAAGCGCTCCCCGAAAGCAGTATAAATTGAGGGTATTTTGGAATGTTTCTTGCGATAAACATGTCCAGGTAAATTGTGTCTTGGGGTGGAAAATCTGTGGAATCCATAACTTCCAGAAGAATACTGACAACATACTGCCGATTCATGGACGATTTGCAAAAGGCTTGCTCCTCGGAAACATCTTGCCTGAACGCTGTGTCCTCGGAATCTGCTCCCCCGTTTAAGAATGGATTCTCGAATGCTTCATTCAGAGCACTCAGAAAACTGGGCGCATCGAATTTGAGGATAAGTCGGAGATAGGGAAAGGAGGGCTCCGATTTTGAAATAGGATCTGTATAGAACGGTTTGCCACCCTGCTTCGGCCATGTTATTGTCCTTCCCAAAAACAGAAAGTAATAGAGCGCAGCCTTTGCATTTGACGCCTCTGGCTCTGGGAGGTCTTCACCCGTAGGGTATACACGGCCTGTAAGAGTGTAAGACAGGTAAGGGAACACCTTCAGAGCATTTACAGCATGCATAGAGCTCGCGTTCTCATTCACCTCATTCGGAAGTGGAAGGGCTACTAAAAGGGAAAGTAAGTCTATCATAGGAGTAATATAATCGTCAAGCGCCCGGTTCCAGACGTAGATCATCGCGTCGTAAAGATTGTGTTGCTTGCATAGAGTCGTTACTTGGTCAATGTCCAATGTTCTCGTATCCATATGACAGATTATCTCCTCCAATCGGCTATCGAACTCGCGAGAAGTGTAGTGTGGAATGAGCGCTTTAACAACTGTTGGTGGTACGGACCGAATCCTTCCTTCCAATACATGCGGTTCTAGTGTTTCAAGGAAAATACCTTCAAAAGACCCTTGTTCGAAGTATTCAAAAGCTTCGCCGAATAGAAAGTCCATCGTACCCATACTTAGGCATGCGTTGAAACACGCTGTCGCTAAATCTTGCAATTGATCACGCCCCAATACTCCCTTTTGGGCAGACTTTTGGTTTTTTCCAAAGGCGTACCTAAGGGACGCAGACATCATCTCCAACAGTCTTTCCTCTACAATTGGATGTCGTAATTTCGCGTCTTCAGGAAGCCCGATGGTCAACTTGTTGGCCTCCCCGACGTAATATGCCGTAGCGAGGTGTATTGCACCAATGAAGTCTCCAACCTCCATCATAGCCAGCAATCTATCAGCCCAGTTGGACAATGCACCAACCAAAACTTCGTATTGACACTATCCGAAATTAGCCCGCCCATTTTCAACAAATATACACACATATACAACAGAAAGTTGAGACTACATACTAGCAGAAACATCCTTCCTTTGTAAGCCTTGAAACTGCCGTAAAATGCATCTGCCACATGTGGATGGGATGATCCCTCGTCATCAAGACGGTCAATCAGAGAATGCAGTTGCCCTGAGAACGTATCAAGATGCAAAATCTGCTTTGGCATCAGATCAAACGTTTCGGTTACTCTCAATGCAGTATCCTCAAGAATTATTAGCCTTTGAGTAACTGTCAAAACACCAATTATCTAAAATTTCATTAGAAAACGACCATTATATCTTTTATTTACGAAAGATACCTGACGATTGATCCACTGTGCAGCAGCAATTGCTTCATCGCATCGGAAGCGACTCTTAGGCCGGAAGTCCAAAACGGGTAGACGAGCGGGATCATTATCCTCAGCCTCAACAACCGAAAGCTCTAGCATAGTCAAAATGTTCGACCAAGCATACACTAATCTCGCATTCAGACATGAATTTGATCCATCGGCCGCTTTCTTAGCTTTCATAAAAGGATACCAGGCCAAACATCCTGACAATGCCGAATCGGTAGCGACCTCTTTGGGCTTAGCAGCTTTATATTGTGTTTGTGCAATTGGAGTAGTCGAAACAACGACTAAGAGGTTAGGGGTCAACAGGGCAACAAGCCCCATTGTATCTGTCGCTTGCTGGAAGTTTCCTAACGGAAGAACAGAGAACCCGAGCACTGAACTAGGCTTCCGAGGCCGGGGAGCCGGACTAGCATCAAATGGATATCGCCCTAGGATACGCGTAGTTTTTACAATCCTCCTAACTGCGCCTAGTCCTCTAGTCGCCAAATGTGAGAATGCCATCCCTCTATCGTCACCAGAAACCAATGCCGTATGTCTAGTACCAAGAAACCCAAGATGAATTACTGAAACCCCTTCAACGTGACCATCTGTTTTCCGGCCTTCAACCTGATCCAAAGGGAGAGGGGGTATGTGGAGAAATGGTTGGCCAGGCTTGTTCAACTCCCAAGTGAAAATGTGCCCAGAGTCGTGACCTCCTGCGATGGTGGTATGATCAGCGGAGACGGCCAGAGCTGATATTGCCCCATGCTCGACAGCTATAATAGTTAGAAAAGAGTATAACTTGGGTGTGGGTGTTAGAGCATACCATTTGTACCAGGTCCTACTATTCCTTGAAGACTCTGGTTGTAGTCGAAAACTAAAATGATACCCTTGGAAGTTCCCAGTGCAATTGTCGCAGAGGCAATGACGCATGTAGGGGTACCAAAATTACGCCTTCCTCCCTCAGAAAATATTTGATTTTTTATCTTCTTGAGTTTAGTCCACCTAACAACATCCCAAGGTGCTGACCGTTCTTCCGCCTCGCCAAAACTGATATCTCCCGTTGAGGATGATCTCGAATGTGGCCCAAGGAGAGAGGGCGAAAGAGGTCGTGGCGATGGTGATCCTATGGGTGAGGCGGGCTGTAACCGCGACTGAAATCGTCTGTCGAATGGCCGTAGAGACGGAGCAGGTGAAAATCGAGACCCCAAAATGCTGCTCCCCCGCGAAGACGCCACTGACCCCTACGAGCCCCCGATATTAGCCATCAATAGGTAAAGCCGCCAAGAGGTAGCACCCACCTGTATTGAAGGAGTATCGTCGGGCGTAGAAAGAGAACCAGCAGGGCTGGTCTTGCCGTTTATTGAGTTGGAAAGATCTGGATGTTCGTTATCTGCTGATTTTTTTGCCTGCTTAAACCCCTTAAAAGCCGAGCCATTCCCCTCTTCCCTAGCTTCCTGCAGGTATTCCAGAACTCTTGAAGTAGTTGTGTCCGTCATCGATTGCGGAATGCCCCCATTCACCTCGAGTTCTCCCTCGCTCAAGCCCCGCCCGACTTCAACATTCTCAACCTCACGCCCGTTATCCCCCCTATCACTTTCGCTCGTCTCGGGTACCGAGCCCTCGTTCGGTATCGAGCTCATCGGTTGGGAATCGGGTCAACTCGCATATCTCGAGTTCGTCGTTCCACCTCAAGGAGGCTCAAATAGTTCCCCAATCGTTCGGAATAAATGTTTTCGGGGCACAGATGGGCAGATAACAGCCGAACGGGATATTTCGGAGATTTAAAACCACAGAACTGCCTAATAATATCTGATGTTGACTTTCTGCAGGTAACGTGTGGCTCATCTAGGATACCGGTATGCGGGTGTGAAGCTGCGGGTGCTTTCCCCGATGGGAGACGAGATATGTTCCGAAATGTGCCCATCGCATGCGTACATTTGAACCCTAACTAAATATAATGTATGATACCCTCAGCCCTCCCGAACTTTCCTAATGCGAAAAGCGCGAGGTTCTCACTGCCACGCAAAAGCTATCACCACATTCAACAGCAGCCATGGGTGGAACAGTTGGCCCGTCAATTCCTCCCCATATCCTGGCGAAGAGAAAGCTGGATGAAGATGAGGGGAATAGCAGAGCACCATCAGGAGTCGGACCGTCGATGCCAGATGAATTAGACATAAAAAAGAGACGGGCAGTAGGTCCTGTGCTGCCTCTAATCGATGAACGGCCAAGTTCGGGACCCGAAGAAGGTGATGACGAGACCAGCAGCGACGATGATATAGGGCCGGCCCTACCTCCGAGCTCTGCGTCAGCTGTAAGGAAGCCTCATCTGTTTCTACCCATTAAGGGCATTAGCTAACCAGGCGCCAACCGGTGCACAGGAAGAGGTGGAATTAGCAGCACGGAGGCGGTTGGCACAATTCGCAGAAACAAAGGTTCAGGATTCCGGCGGCGGAAAGGCGAAACGTGACGAATGGATGTTGGTTCCACCAAAGTCGGAGGATTGGGCAACCAAAGTCGATCCAACCAAGCTACGAAACCGAAAGTTTCAGACGGGAAAAGGATCCAAAGCACCTCAGAAACCGGGAGGAGACAATACACTCTGGACAGAATCACCCGAGGAGAAGCGCAAGCGGTTAAATGATGAGGTGATGGGTATTAGGAAACCAGAAACCCAAACACAGGAAAAGGAGGGAAAGCACGGTGTCGGTGCGGCCGAGGCCGAGGAGACGACCCGAAGAATCCGTGAATACAATGTAATACCCCTTATGCATTGATCCAACCTGGCACACATCTATCTGATACTGAATCGTTGCCTGCTGGGGTTTTAGGAGAAAAATCGCTCCCAAACGCTCTACGAGGAGCATAAAAAACTGGGACCTCGGGAAAAGGAGGACGACCCTAGCGCTCGCGCGTTTGATCGTGAGAAGGACATCGCCGGGGGTCGCAGAATCGGTCACGCGCAAAAGAAGGAGATGCTGAATAGAGCAGCCGAATTTGGATCTCGCTTTTCTTCGGGAAGCTTCCTGTGATAGACTGACTATCGGTTCAAAGATCGGGATAAGCGCCACTACCGTACCGGTACCGTGTCTCGTCGCACTCTCCTCTTTCTCTCCCCCAAAAGCGAGCTGAATACCATACCAGTACGGTACCGGTGGACTGTGGCCTCTTTTTCTCTTTTTCTTTTTTTCATTTCCCGGCAACACCCCCTTCTTTGCTTACCATACCTTCTCTCATGTATGATACGATACGGGAACCATGACTTGGACTGAAACCGGGAATATCATGTCACGCTATGCCGGTACCGGTACTCTAGGGAATGCAGTTTCGACAACTGCTCGAGCATGATAGACTTGTCTGTTGCCATATGCCCATGTCCTCTACCGATACCTATACACAATATTCTGCCTTACCGTACCGGTGCAATAGGACCATCGTGCTGGAACATGATTTTGCGGGGGGCTTCAAAATGACGGAGCATTTCTCACCACTTGCACATAATATTGCGATCCACGGCAACAGTTGATTTTGGGGCTTGTGGGTCTTGGCACGAACACAGTATGTACGAGTACGAGACTCGAGTACGGTACTTATACCAATGATACTATGCTTGGAGGACAGCACTAGTGTAATACGGTAGACTATGGTAATATGATACCGGTCAGTTGGGTAGAAACACCAAGACCCCGGCTTCCCGTAATGAGTACTCGAGTACGGCAGCAGACTAATGTTTCCCTATCCGAGCCCCGGTAAACTTGACTCGATATAGTGAAAGAATTTCCTTATTTGAATCCGGGGGGGATTTCTTGGTACAGGTAGGGGGACGTTCCGGGGTCACGTCGTCTCGACGCTTGCCACCTCCGAGAACTTCTTGGACGAGGGAATGCCCCCTATTTAGTGTATCATAGCCAAGTCTGACACCAAGGCTCAGACTTCAAAGTTTACCGGATCTAGACTAAGCCCAGACCAAGTGCGAAAAGCCACACCCCTACTTACTGTAACTAATGATAACCGTCCGTCCCCCAGACCCATCCGTTCGCTCATCCCACTCGTAGACCACACGCCCTTTCAAACAGTTCCTTTTGCCCTTCCTCTCGGGGCACCGACGTTCATTCGACCCATTTATCCTACCATTCACTTTTCCATTCATTAGATTTCTTCCGAATTCTTCACCATTATTGTTATTCTCTTTCTACCTCCTCTTCTTGCCCTGTTTGCCCGGGTCAGTTTAGGCCTCCGCAGTTTCCGGCGCGACATCTCGCATTCTATTTGTTTCCAACCTTTCCTTCTTTCCTGCGCAATTAGACATGGCTGTTCTCAAGCCATGGCTAGACCTGGTGAGGAGGGATGATGAGCGTGATGACGATGATTGGCCTCACAGAAGTTGGTATTGGAGTGATGTGAGTCTGATGCGTCTGGTTTCATCCGTTCAATCCCGACGATGGGCTTGCTCTATTTACTGACTGACGGGTGTTGTTTCCTAGCAAGCGAGAGCGATCAAATGGGGAATCTTTTTCGGCATCTTGACCTTCTTCTTCGTACTCATGATGGCAATGTACTACCACGCCGACCGCCGGATGAAGAACGGAGTGCCCCCTCTCCGCTACCACCGGGTAGATTCCTCACCTCTTCCTTACAGTTTTCATGGGTCCGGGATAGAATGGCTAATAAATGTGTTGGGATCTGTAGTGGTTAGTTCCTCGGACCCGGAGGGCCCAATTCGAACCGAACCCCCAACAACCCGAAGAAAACTTCTCGTTCTATAACCAGCAACAGCCCCAGGAAAATGGTGCCTATGGAATGCATACTGTGCCGCCTCCAGGTACAGAAACCCTTCTTATTGCAGACCTAAAGCGTCGCCCGATATTGGATCATGGATAGGAGGGAGGGATGCTAACTCTCCACGCCCATCAGCTTACAACCCCAACTACCCCGAACCTCCTGTATACTCTGGCGGACCCCCAATCGGGGCCACAAAAGTCGACCCAGCACAACATCCAGCACATCACCTAGGTGAAGGCAGTAGCAGCGGACCTGCTCCCCCTCCCCCTGCTGCCGTCCCGGAATATACACCGCAGCAGCACCCGCATTGAGCCCAAAAACCGACCGGTATGTCTACATTAAACTTTGGAATCCCCTATTATCGTCTAGAGGACGAGGGCGTAAAGGAGAGAAGGAAGGGGGGGCCATTCACTTGCAAACCAGTAGTCTCCAAAACCGCGCTCGCTCACTGCATTCCCTGTATTCTTATTTATTTTTACCTTTTGGACCTTCATCTTGCCTTTATTCCCTTCGCCCCGGGTTACCGGGCAGATTCACACAATCATACCCTTTCTTTTCAGACAAGCTCATACTGTTTCTTCTCAATTCCTTTCCTATTGTCTACCACTTGATCTCTTTTGTTTGGGTGGGCATTGGTTTTCTAGTTTTTTTTTTTTGTAAAGTTACATAGGGGGAGACGTATTATACATCATGGGTAGCAATTCTCAAATCGGAGCAGGGACGGCTGGCGGGGGGGATTGGATGGGAGGAAACAAGTAACCGATTTTTCCAAAAAAGAAAAAAGAAAAAAAAGAAAAAGGGTTCCCTTTTTGTTACAACCGTAAATCCCTTTTCCTTTATCGTTTGTAACTATATCGATAGTACAGGTATCGTAGTTGATCCCTCACGTAAGCTAGAGCGAACATCACGCAGACTGGGACCAGGACAAACAGCGGTAAACAGTAAAACGCCCAGGAATTCAAGAGTTCAAGAAAAAAGAAAAGCACCCCATTTCCAGACAATCAAGTACCGTAATCTCAAAGGGGTTCCATATCATACGTGGAGGGGGATAGCTAACCGATGTCCATAGCATCCGGATCCTCATAAAAACCCCCTCCTCCAGGTATATCTCCACCCATCTCCATCGAATCCCATTCACACCCTCCCTCCTCTTCCTCACCCCCTATCATCCCAGGATCTCGAGCTGCCACCATAGCAGCCCTGTCGGCCTGCCTTTTCCGAATCCTGTTCCTCGCCTCAATAATCACTCGCCGGACACTATCCCTCTCCTCTGAAATACTCAGCGAGCTCGGCACTGAATAAAGTACCAAATCCGTACTCGTTTTTCCTCCTCCACTTTCGCCTCCACCGCCATCACCACGGACGCCATTCTCAGCAAGTAGGTAGGGAACTCGGGTCAACCTCTTCTCGATGTCCGGAAGGAACATGAGTTTCCGGGAGCCCGGGTCGTCCTCGGTGTCATATGAGGCGATCTCTTCGTCCAGGTTTTTGATGAAGACTACATTGTCGACGTCCATCCTTTCTGCTTCCGGTTGGGAGAGGGGGGCATCGCTGGCGGGGGTGGTGATGGGGAAGGGCTGGGGTTTGTTGAGGAGCTCTACTTTGGGGGGCGTTAATTGATATCGGGCGGGAGGGGGAGTGACGGGGGCAACCTTTTTTGACAAGAGACAGTTTCTCCAGACGTTTTGATAATGGTTGTTCCTCCAGCAGGTCATCACTCGGAGGTCGCTTTCGTTGGAAATCCGTGTTCCATTCCATCACTGGTCGGTGGTGATGGGTTTCCCCTCCTTTACTTCGACCCTCTTCGTAGGGAACTCGCATTCGTCGGTGTTTTTTTTTGTTTTTTTCCCTGGGAGTCAATTGCTCTCTCTTTCCAAATCAATTTCCCCGACTACTGCGAAACGGTTATCTTAGGAGCAGTCGCCTACCGTACCGTTTATCACTCGCGTTCCCGCTTCCGTGGGCGTATTATCCCCCCCACCTCCTCGAAAAATTAGGGCAGAAAATAGTAGTAAGGGCAGCAATCTCTCCCCCAGGAACCATTATTGGTCATATAGACTTCTCGTCAACTCAATTTAAATACATTTCACCGTAATCTCCCTGCCGACGTAAGCCCGCTCGATCGCGGGCTTCGAAAGGGGCAAAAGAAGCGTCTGGAAGAGTCGGTGGGATGGACGGTTGCTATTACGAGGGCAGGGGGGTTACTCGGGCTGTTCCTCGTTTGTAGGTGGGTGCCAAGGCTTGCGAGAAGGTTCCTGGCGGTGTGTAAATTATGTGCGTGGGGAGGCACTCGACTACTTGAGTTCTCGTAGATGCATGCACGCAGACGACGTGTGGTTGGGGATCACCTAGCTTCTTTTCTTCTTCTTTTCTTTTGAGTGTCTTGTACAGTACAGTATGGTAACTGGTGAATTGTAACAGGAATGTGAAATGCGGTGGGTTAGGGCTTTTGTTGTAAGCTTACACAGGGGCATGTTGTGGTGATGGCCGGCGAGGTATCATACTGTACTCGAGTTCTGATGGGAAAAGACTAGGGTTTAGCACCGGTAAGGAGGGATCAATACCGGTACAGTACTGTAGTGGATAAGTGTTTCGCTGGGCTCAAAGGTTAAGCAAGAGCTTATGACTTCTCCCCTTGTATACGGTACCTCGGCAGGATCATAGTTGCACCGAGTGAACTTTACGGTAGTATGCTACTACCGTACGACCTAAGCCTGCATGGGAAGCCACAAAGAATCACTCGGGAAATCCAGTCAATCGATGTTCCCGGTCCCGAGCAAGCATGATGTCCATGCAAAACTCGAAACCTTGTTGGTCGTCAAAACTTCCTCGAACGAAGACCGACCCGGTACACTTGAGACAGAAAGAGACACTCTGGACCAAACGGTTCCGCCTTCAAAATGCCCCCCCCTCCAAAATTTCGGGAATAACGAGCACCTTCTCTTATCATACAAGTATGACCTCCTGTCTACTTGCACAATGTGGAAACCAACCCGTGCACCATGACGAATCCCGGAGTCGTCTGAGACAAACGAGTCAGGTCACCAACCCCACCCCCAATGGGAGGCAGAAGGAATTCGCGACTCTCGTACGCAAATTTGTCGAGAACATCCACTGGATTGTATAATACTCCACTGACTTCCTGCCCACCCCTTGTCAACCGTAATCCCGGTCGGCACCGCGGAGGCGGTGTAATCTAAAGGTTTGACGAATATAATTTACTCCCGATATCAAGCTTCTTAGGCACACACAGTTATCATTGGGAGCACATGATGGGTGGGATACGTGTTTCGACTCTCCTACCAATCTTTGTCAGGGAGGTTGTGAAGCTTCAATGCGGGTGGTAGGCGTCCTGGTATCTGGATTTACTGACAAGTACGGTAGGCCCCTGACTTCTAGCATTACCTGTTAGTGCAGGTTAACTAAGGAGGGTCCGTACCCAGGAGACGGCCGTTTGTGACAGGACTAGCTCCCTGGAGAGGGTGTGGTTGCGGTGGGAGTCGGCATCACTGTCGGCGGAGAGGGCTCTCCACGGTTTGGCGGGGGGGGGGAGTGGCCGGTTTGGTTTTGGGAAGGGTAGAGCTAGCTTACTGGCACTCATTTGCGACTTTGTGCAAGTGGGGTGTCTATTCGATCAGCTGCTTTTGCAATTTCCAGGACAAGCATTTGGTGATTTTGAGTGAATGAGGAGATGGAGTATCATATCTGCTTCCAGAACTCTGCATGAGGAGATGGGCATCTGCAGTTGGGTTGGCTGTTGGATCCGTTAGTCTACCCTACCAGCTGTTCCTTGTCCATCGGGTAGTGGGCCGTAGTGGGCAGGATGGGGAAACGTGTTAGAAGTGTTTTGAGGGATACCCACTCTTTGCGCGAAGATTTATAGGGAAGCCCGCTATATATGAGGGTGTCAAGCCGGATATGCTGGTTGCTCTTGTAAGGACGCGTATTGGTCGGAAGAGCCCACGTGGTTAAAACACAAATTCACCCAAGGGTAGTTTTTGGGTAACAAACCAATACCTGTTCCGACACCTATAATGCACCCTCTCCTATACTCGAGTACCTGCATCAGTATTGCAGACCTCCCAATAAGCCAACTGGAGACAGAAGCGTGTCCTTTGGAGTCCAAGGGTACCCCATGATACTGTTCACAGCCCCTTCACTCCAGAACCGGGTTAGAACCCGCCCACCTACCAACCAGGAACACGGTTGGGCCGAAAGTATTTCCCACCATTGGGCCACTCCTTAGCACCCCATCTTCGTTACCGGCAACTCATTCCGGGAATCACCATCCTTACGCTAGCCTTTGGCGGGATACACTGGCCATACAGTAGCTCCCCCCCAGGTCTTGTGCTGGTGGGGGGAATAGTCATCAAGCTCATGCGCTCTTCTGAACCCTTTGTCGAAGAATGTCTCCATTAGCTGGATCGTCTATCATGCAGGTTGAGTGAGCCCAGGTGCACGCCTGGGCTCTTGGGCATCGCGATGAAGCACTCTTCTCGTGATAAATTAGAGTAACCGCTAGATCCAAAGTGAATGAGATCAACTTTTCTTGAGGGTGTCCTAAAGGTTTCCAGTACTTTACTACGTGTTACTCTGGAGGAGGTTTGAACGCCACCGTTACCGTGTACTGTACCACTCACTTACTCTCTGTTTACCAAATTGAAAAAGTGTGAAAAATAACTGGGACTAAGGACACACACTGACTGATTGATTGATCGATTGATTGATTGACTACTTCAGGCTCTAAAATGTGATTCTTTATTAAATGGTGAGGGACGTTTCCCCTTACCATACTAAATTTATCTATCTCCCTGTCGCTAGAAATCTCCCTCCTCGTCTGTTCATTCAAAGCTCCTCCCCATCGGGACCCTGCGGGCCTAACTATTGTATTTGCTCCACAGCCATCCAGACGCAACGACCTCCTTCATACCGGCGCCTCGGAAATACAGCCTGCTCGTCACTCTTTCTTGTATTTACCAGTGATTCCCAAGAGATTTACTCGTCTGCGGTCATTGGTGTGGGGCAGATTGAGGCAGAGATTTTTCCCGATAGCTCGATGCTTTTCTTTTCTCGCAAGAGGTAAAAATGCCTCCAGAGTGTTACTTTGGGGTACGATATTATGAAGAATGAGGTATCTGGTTTCCGATGAACCCCTTTTCTTCTTCTTTGGCGACGCAGGTTTGGGAGCTAGCGGTTAACCACTGTGTCAAACTCTTACGTTGGCATCATAGATGCTCACTCGGGTACTGGTTGGTAATGGCGCTTTGTCTGTATCATAGGATACTGGTGGGAGTGGCCTGATGAAGGGGGTCGGGGAGCTCACTCACCTCATAGTGAATTGATGACCGATTCAAAGTGTTGCTTAGCACTTTAGGGAGATGGGAAGGTATCATATATAACTTAGCGGATGACTGATGTATGATACTAATACCAGTAGTAGCATTATGGCCATAATTTGGAGCCGGGGGATCCACGCAGCGTTCCGCTACTAGGAGAGGGGCGAGCCCCCAAAGGAAGAAAGTGTGACTGAGAAAGGATAGACACCTAGTTGTTCTGAGACTAGAGATGATAGGGAGGGGAGGGAGGTAGCAGCAGGGGTGTAAAGCTATGATAGACACGGTCTTAACAGTGGTAAACGGAAAGGGAGCAAACACCCTGAATGAACACGACAGCAATTGCGATATCATGACAATGTCGGGTGAGGGCTTCGCTCGTGTGATAGTCAGGTTAGAGCTGAAAATTGCGGAGCTGGGGTATATCGCGTTCAAAAGTGGTGCACTCAAGACATCCCTTTTTCACTCGGTTAATACGGGGCCGACAGGATAGGTATCAGATGGTGTATCATGTGATACCTTTCGCATGTCAGAACGGTGATGGCGAAAGCTTGTAGTAAAAATGTCTGACAACCCTTGTATGAGAGCCTGAATCTCCTGGGCTTGCTCTGGATTTAGCGCTGGTTGAATCCACCAGCCCCGGCCCGGACCCCTGAGCTTCTCATGAAGGCAAAAGTGAGTAGTGATGGCAGTATGGGGCGGGGGCAACTATTGAGGCAAAATTGCCGTTTGGCCTTTGATTAGGTACGGTACCTGCTGGGGTGGCGTGGCTGGTATGGTGAGTTGGTATTAACAGAACCACACTGTTTCTAAACGTTCTTCTCGGTGGATGTGCGGTGATGGCGCCACGCCGGGTAAATCTACCGGACCCCGTAGAATCCTTCGGAGACCAGTAAAGGATGGCGGTGACCGTGATGAATTACTGATGCTTGTTTTGCGTTCTGGGTGACCCTGATGGATATAGCATCAGTCTCGTTGCTGGGCTGTGGGAAAACCTAAGTGATTATACTGTGATCCCCATTTAAGTATAATGGGGATTGAGCACAGGGTTGTCCCATCACTAAATATTCCCCGCTCACTGCACTAAGTTCTATCTGATTTACTGCCTTAGACTTTGCAATAAGAACTGAAGCGCTCGTGACGCCCGACTTGAAAGTTGGACACAATGCACTGAGGAAGGCCATAACAAGCCATGAATTTGAGGTTATTGTACCCATCTGTTGCACGACTATCGGTCTGGGGTGTCCGATGGCTTTGAACCGATCATTTGTAACCGGTAACACCCTCCAACGCCTCTCTTGCTTGCGGTCGAGCCCACCTTTTCTATCTGATATTCTGACCGTGGTCCTTGCTTTGCACGCAAAGTGGTTTTTTCGTTGTATTGAACTTCTTGTGTTGTAGCTTGTTGCCAAGGGGTATGAAAACTTATTAGACACAAGTATACCCAAATATCATTCATGGTAGATACAGGTATTCCCATAAGTTGAATTTATCTGTAACCAATTGACTTTGCGTAGTTCCTATAGGCTATAACTACTGCATAATGATGTGGTGTGATTTCTTGTCCTACCATTTCCCCCAGGTTTGTCAGTATTTGTATCAAAAACTTTGTAATACATTGTACCTACCTCGTGTCATAATGCTCAGTCCGGGATGTTAATGCAACAATAGAAAAAATAAAGGGGAGCTCTGTTACTATGGAGGCCTTGGCGCCAAGGCACTAAAAGCATCTGAATATTATACTTTTTAAATGGCCAAGAAAGCAGGGTAAGCCGCACTTGTTTACTACTATAAAAACTCGAATAATTGACCCATGTGCTAGGGAGTCAAAATAAGGTGTGAAACCTGCTGAAGTGGAAATTAATGTCTTAAATGTGTCTTTAAGGTGAAACATTAGACCTCACTTGAGGATTTCTCAACCTCACAGGAGAATTCAATTTTATATAAAATGTAAACAAAAGAATATAACACATGTAGTTTCCTAATATACAGTACTCGGTTGTGTCGTGTGCGGGGTTTTTTTTTTCTCTCTTATCCAAACAAAACAACATGTCTTTTCAACCATGTGGGCGTATCCATATCCAAACAAGTCTTCCCCCACTGCCTGCTGATAGGTTCCATGTCAGAATTAAAAAAAAAAAAAGACCTAAGCAAAAACCATTGAGTGAGCTTCTTTGAGCACTAAAGCAGAAGGTAGAAACCCTATATAGGTCTTATACTATTAGCTTTAAGCTTTAGGTACTATCCTAATAGGCAGCAGTTGAAATACCTTGTAGTTCTACCAAGGTTTGGGAGCCAATATTAAGAATCCTACTGGG